AAGTCATTGTAATCACAGCCACAGTCAAAGACTGCTGGTTCCAGCACGAAGAGTTTGCAGGTTTATTCAAATAATTCTAGTAGTTGTTGCAAAAATTGAAGGCATGATTAAAGCGGAATGTACATTGGCAAGTTAAACAGTTGTTCGGTAACAAATTTGCTAAAAATATATATTTATACATAAGAATTTTTCAAACAGAAAGTTGTTCGGATTATTTCGGGAATTTCAATGCAGCAATTCTACATAATTTCTACATGTATTTTGTTGCCTGAAAGTATGCCAGCAACATTTTCTTCTCTAGCAACATTTGATAGGAACATTTGTTGCTAGCTGCACCAAAATGTTGCAGAGCCACTAGAGCACAATGAAAAGATGAAATTATAAAAAAATACATATATTAGCGATTTAGAAAACTTTAAAATATAGTATACCTTTTAGTAAGGAACTACATTTGAGCTTATATGTAAAGATAAATCCTCGAGTAGCACCCATTTGAAACGGATAGAATTCTACTATATTCTTAGAGTAGTAAACCATTTGGGGTAGAAGTAAAACAAAACTACATAATTCTATATAACCGCCCATCTATATATACGATACAATTTCTTGAAATATATTTATTTAGGAGCCCCCATTTCTATAGTTAATTCCATGAAACTTTCCATGGCTTCCTAGGTAAAACAAAATAAAAGCCACTTAGCATTAATAACCCGTAGAGCTATGAACTTTTATCGCGTGTATCCAGTAAACAATTGGAAAAGTAGCTTTTAATAGTTAGACATTATACAATATGTAACAACCCACATAGGTACCAAACCCCACAAAGACCCACAAAATCCTTCTCTCTGTCTTATTTTCAGTAGAACACAGACTAATTTTTCGTTTCATAATTTCCCCCCTAGAGCCTCTCATTTCTCTCACGCGGCACACTCACTTTTCGTTTCCGTACCCATCAGATCCATCTCAGAACCCAGATCGTTTCTTGTGTTGGATTTGTGTGATTTATTTTCGTTTGTCCACCCCCGTACACCCCCGAAATTGTTCTCGTTTGTTCATTTGTGTGCATTTCAGGGCGGCTACTTAGATGGACTACGTTCACATTTGGGTGGTTTAACACAACGTGTCAAATCATGGTATTGGGGACGACCTCTAGTAAGTGCCAATGTATTTTTCGTTAAATGTTAAACGAAAACCACCACAAAAAAAACAACAAACAAACAAACCTAATCATAAATAAAAAAGCAAACACCAGCAACCACAGAAACTGAAATTGTGCTCGATACTCGTACTTGAGTGGAAAAATGTGTCTGCCAAATGTTCTCTATCACAGTCTGCATTTTGTTTTTCGATCTGCATCTTCTCGTTGCATTCAATTTAGCCTGAAACTTAGATTGTTGCTATCACTCTCTCACTTACGCTCTCTATCTTTCTGTAACTCTGTCACTCTGTCTCTCTCTCTCTCTCTCTCTTTTTAAACTAACTAACTAACTAACCAAACTTAACTGTTTTGTATGTGCATTGCAACAACCACCACAACAACAAGTGCAATTAAAACAGCAACCTAAAAAAATTAAACAAAATTTAAAATTAAACTGCATATCCAGAATTTTGTGTTGTATTCGTAGGAATTGTGTTCCCATTTAAAATCTAATTTTGCTTGCCCCACCACCCACCAACCACTCACCACCATCCACAATTCAGTCGTATTATTTTCCATTCGTTTCATCTTTAATTTGATTTCATTCGTGATGCACTTAACAAATCTTTCATCTAGAGTTCCTTAGTCTCCTTTGTAAAGTAAATTGTCAATGTAAGTACCTAAAAACCAAAGCTAAACTAGACACAAAACTAAATCGATGCCAAGAACCAACAACGAATGCAAATCCTAATGGCCAAAACCAATAAACGAAAAACCGGACAACCGGCAAAAATGAAAAATGTCAAAAATAATAAAACAGAAAAAGAAAAAGAAAAACAAAATAGCTTGAAAAATACATTTGCACATTTACGCATGAGTCACCCTGATTTCTATAAACACACGCAAAAAAGTCAAATCAAATCGAAACCAAATCGAAGCCAAATCTCTTGGTCTTGGTCCACCGAATCACCCTTCACACATAATGTTCTTCCGTAGTATTTCTTTCGGTACTTTTTTACTTTGCCCTGTAATTAGAGTACAACAAACAACTCCCCCATTTGTTTTGGCCTTACTTTTAGCTGCTGCTGCCCCACACAAACACTCACACACACACACGAAACACACACAGCACTCTTTCCTAGTTGTAGTTAGCAAGTTCCCATAGACCTGTATAATACAATACAAATACTCGTAAGTTGAAAGTTCTTGAAGCTTTAGTTTAGCGCTTTTGCCTCACCGAATTCCGAATTGAGTTTGGAAATTCTTAGCCCAATTAGTGTAGCCATCAAAATCTAAGTGTATTAGCTGCCAATTTTGCAAGTCGTTTTTGTATCCAAGTACTTATTTCCATAATTGTATAGCTGCCAAGCCTTAAAGTGCACCAACACCAACACACACACACAAACAAACACACTCACATACGTATCCGCAGACAAACAGATAAACAGCGATCCTTGGACACACGAACACACACCAAACAGCACTCTCGCATACTCATAACTTGCACCTGAAGCTCAATTTTCAGATGAACCTAAATCCCTAATCCCATGCCAGTCTGAAAGGTCTGTGAACTGAGATTTTCCGTAAATGCCAAAGCAAACATCACTAGAGAATGGACTTTGGTGTCACATAAATTGATTTGGGAAAAAGTTTATAGTTTTTAATTATACCTTGTCCAGAGTGCAATTTGGCAACATAAATTATCCACATGCCTTTTCTTACATTTCCTTATCTAACTCTTCTTCAATCTTCTTCAATCCTCAATCAAGAAATTGTACATGATTCTGTCAAAGACTAATCCAATATCGAAAAAGTTTAAAATATAAAGACACATCGAATGCAAAAATGAAAGCTCGTCAATGGGCAGCAAATCAGCCTCAGCTCGGCTAAATCCACTTTGAATGGCAATCGAAACACAATCTCCAACTGTCTCTTTCCAAAGCACGCTTTGGCATAAAATGTCCCACTAAGAAAAACATCACAACCCTCCGTCCCACCAACCTGAAACACCACTCAGTTTTACTCTATTCTGCCGAACATTGAAATGTCATACTTTATTCAATTAAGTTTCTATCTGTATGTTTGCAAGTGAACGAGAAGCAAAAACAAATAGCAAACAATTTGAAATAAAAGGCAAACAAATGAAGAAATTAATTTATAAATATGTACGTCTAACCACATAAATCACATAAAGCAAATAATACCAAAGAAATCAACAACGTTTTTATCTCTTCTACCAACCAACTACAACAAATTCTTATGCAAATTTTTCTACTACTTTCATTTTACATTCAACTTATTGTACAACCAAAAAATCAAACAATTTGAACAAATTGCTCACTCTGCAAAACCTAAAAACAAAACAAAAATCAAACAAAAATCTTTGACAAATGAAAATGTGGCTGAATCTAAAAAATTGAAACTGAAAATACAAAACAAAAAAATTAGGAGTTGGCCACAAAACTCTCAAGAAGTTTCGATATGAAGGAAGAAGGCGGCACATTGCTGGGCGATAAAGGTGTACGAAGGCATCAGGTGAGTGCTACTTACTCCAACTCTAGTGCAAGCACACTAAAATAACAGAAATATCTCAAGAAAAATAAGTACCAGTTATACGAAAGCACATGAATGCCAACAACTACAAAAAAAACAACAAAAATAATCAGAAAAACAAACGGAAATGCGGTTCAAAATTCTCCTCTCCAAGTACAATTTTGTCAAACATACTTTTGTCAGTATAATCTGCTCTCCTTTCCTTCCACACCAGCTAAATTAAATACAATTTGATCGCTCAAGCATTTCATGACTCATTCCAAAACAAATCAAAACAAAAAACACACAAAAATCTCTCTTTTTTCTCTCTCTTTACTCTCCACTCTCCACTCTCTACTCTGTACTCTTACCTCTCTCAAAAAGAAACTATGTACAACAATTATGCCATTTAATGATATTAAACTAGTAAACCTTTTAAACTTCAATTGGCCTTAACTATAGCTTGAAACCGGAAAATACTTACATATATCTTTGCTTGCAGTTCCCACACCAAATCTACTTAATTAGCTTGAACCTTTTAATACTTGAGAATCCAGACACGATTTAAACTAGAACTCCTAGCTACTTTTAAGTATTAGTTTTAGTTTTAGTTTGTCTAGCATTTGGTTTCCTTTTTTTCCAGCCAACTATGTAGAAATCCTCTCTGTACGATATCTGTATTAATGCAATTTTTTGTGGCTCAACTTTGTCTCTTTTGCAGTCCATGCAGCGTCTGTCCGCTGAGCAGAATGGTGGTTCAACGACTGAACAAACACATGAACACAATCCAAACGTCGTACCTGATCATAGAGGCAACTTACACATTACAGTTAAGAAAACGAAACCAATTTTAGGTATTGCTATCGAAGGTGGTGCTAATACAAAACACCCGCTCCCTAGGATAATCAATATCCATGTAAGTACAAGACGGCAAATACTTTTGGAATAATCTAATAATAATCTTCTGGTAGGAAAATGGTGCAGCATTTGAAGCGGGCGGACTAGAGGTCGGGCAACTGATACTGGAGGTAGATGGAACCAAGGTTGAGGGTCTACATCATCAGGTGAAACTAATTTAAAAAGCTAAGACCAGGCTCCAGAGATTAATTAATGTTGTGTGTTGTATTTGCAGGAGGTTGCTCGACTGATAGCCGAATGCTTTGCTAATCGTGAAAAGGCTGAAATAACCTTCTTAGTTGTCGAAGCAAAGAAATCAAATTTGGAACCGAAGCCAACAGCGTTGATATTTTTAGAAGCCTAACATTTGCTTGCCCTGCCGGCCAGTGACCCATTGGAACGACAAAAACTCGAGTTCCTCTATGAATGGGGCATCGATTTAACGGAGACGCCAAAACCAATGCCAACACCAATACCGCTAACAAGAGCCAAGAATCCACCGCCACTGCCTCATGAGCTACACAACAACATCAGCAGCAGCAGCAACACCAACAGCCAGTACGGCAGTCAGACTGCGCTCAACAATCATCAGCATCCTCATCAAACGTATCATCCCAACACTCCCACCACAAACACCACACCAGCGACACAAGCAACACAAGCGACACAGACAACAAAGACCACACAAACCACACAACCACCAGCTGCAGCAGCAACTGCAACCAAAAAACCCCAACAACTAAACACCAATACACCAACAAAAGCTTCGCGCGAGGCCACACCAACAAGGGAACAGCAACGTGAGCAGCAACGCGAGCAGCAGCGTGAGCAGCAGCGCGAACAGCAGCGAGAGCAGCGAGAGCTTGCGACGCCAACACGCGAACAGAAGCAACACCAACAGCGGCGACAGCTACGCGACCAACGAGAACAACGCGAGCAGCGCGAACGTGAATACCAAGTAAACGAACAACACCACCACGAACACCGCCATGAACACCACCATCGTGACCACCACGAGTTACAGCAGCAGCAGCAGCAGCATCAGCAACACCACCACCACCCTCATCATTCCCATCAGCAATCATCACAGCAGCAGCAGCAGCAGCAACATCAACATCAACAGCAGCAGCGCTACAGCAGCAGCAACAGCTACAAATCTCATAATAATTCCGTTTACCAGTAAAGAAAATCGAAAGTGAAAAATGCAATTGGAGCAAACAACAGTTTTTGGGAACATTCTTTCAAGCTAAAACAACAATTCAACCAGTCAACAGTTTAATTGTGCTAACTTTTCCAACCCAGAACCCAGAACCCAGAACCCATTCCCCCCTCATGCACGCCTCTTATTACACTGAACAAAACGCGCTTGAATTGGTAACATTCAAATATTCCCCTGGAAAATGCCGTAAACGTATACGTGGAATATTGTAGATTACATTTTTAATTAAATTGAATGTTGTTCCAAAGAGCCCCTCCAATCTCACCTTCCCTTCCACAGCTTATCCCATAGAGAATTTCCATGTCGTGTCGTTTTTGTTGTAGCTAAAGAGATGCTCTAAAAAAAAAAAGAAACAAATTCCAGAATGAAACCAAATTTCTAGGTTGAAATATTTGAATATTTAATTTAATTTTTACATTCTTATCTTAAGTTCAAAAAATATCAAAAGTAAAATTTCAACACTGCCAAAGAAAATATAAATAAAAAATATAAAAAAAAAACAATACAAAATACCGATAAAAGCCCAGAGCATCTCCCTTGCTTTCTTCACTCACTGCTTACCTCCTACTAAAATCCCGATAACCTGCCCCCACCCTCGAGGCAGCAAATAGAGCAAACAAAAAAAAAAACAACTAAACAAAAAACCAACCGATCCCCAAACTAGATTAATCAGTCAAGACCTAACCAGAACCTAGAAATCCTAAGACGAAAATCTCTCGAACCACGTACCATGCGCTAATCGAAATGTGTAAATCTGTGTAAACATATTATTGTATGATTATTATTACTATTGATTAACAATCGAGCAAAGTAGTTTAAATGGTTAGACATTACGGGTATTATGTTTAAACTTTAAACTGATAAACTGGCAGAAACAAGTTTATTTCCACGAGATTATTGTAAGAGAAGTTATTCGAAGAGAAACCCTCAAACAGAACAGCCCCCAAAGAGAATGCAACAGCAAAATATGGCATACATTAAGAAAACCAAGAGCTTACAAATGTTAAAAAGAAAACCAAAAATAATAACAATTAACGTATCTAAAGAATCCACTAAGCAGTAAGCAAAAAGCATAAAGAAGACGATGCAGAGAAAAAAGTTAGGAAAAGAAGACATCCGAAGACACTGTAAATGTAAAAAGAATAAGCCACAAAAAGCTTTTGTTACACTCTCACGGAAACACGCAGACACAAACTGACACACACACACACACACACACACACATATGCACTAGTACTCACATGCTCACAAACTCACACACACATACGCAAACGCATTCGCATGCATATTGCCAAATTTATTATACAATTCAAGCAGCAAAATATATAATTCACAGCCACAAAACACACTCAAGAACAAACAAAATAAAAGCCCACCTAAGCAAAAGATAATTTGTAAAAATTAAAAATAATCTTAAAGCTAAATCGCAAGTCATGTAAAAATTAAACAAATATATATTCAAGATACCCCAAGCAGAGGCCACGCCCATACCCACACACACAAAAACAAAAAAAAAACACACTCACATACAGAAACCAGCACACTGACACCCACACCAACACCCACTCGAAAAACTTAGCCAGAGAAGCGCTTACAAAAAATTTAAAAACTTATCCAAAATATCGAACTATATTCCTGTAGTGTTGTAAAGTTGATCGAAAAGAGTAGATAAAGGGAAAGGAAATTAAAAAACTTATCAGGCTTGCCCGTTGTGTGGATCAATTTGAAAACACTGCAGAGATATCCCTGTTATTAGTACAACTTAAACTGCACACTGCACGATTTTTGAATGTTTGTTAACTGTTAAACCAACACCAGAAAACAACAGCTGCAAATTGTATTCCCCTCTCCACACTCACAAAATTAGGAAGATTATGTATAACCCCACCCAGAGCCCGATCCCAAGACCCAATCACATTACCAACCCCAACCCCAGAGCCCAAAACAAATGGTAAACGAATTATGAAACTACAAAGGGAAGGAGCTACGCTATTCTACCACTAGGAGAGATACCAATAACATTTACGCTGTAGAGACAAAAACTAAAACGAACGCTTAGAATTTGAGGTTGATTGGCATTAAGTAAAAGTTAAACGATGTTGAAGCATGAAGAGCCGGGCCGACAGGGCGCGATCACGAGCAAATAAAAAAATATAAGAAAAAGTATAAAAATAAAAACCAAATGTTAAAGAAGAACTAAACCAGGGCACGACCTAACAACTGTTTGTGCAACCAAAACTTCATATATATTCTGTAAAATATTAGCAAAAAAACAAAACCAAAATCTTTTTAATAAAACGAAACTATTTTTCGCTCTCTCTATGGATTCGCACCGATCTACCGGTGCACCGATCTACCTATATCTGTCACTCACTGACTCACTGACTCACTCACTCAATCGTTCAATCACTTGGTCAGTCATCGTTTTGGCAATTTTGTTGATTTCGTTCGTTGTGTGTGATAGTGTTTGGATTCAAGTGAAACTTTTGCATGTCAAATGTATGTAGAGCAATTTGTTCCAAGTTCCAAGTCCTAAGTCCCGCAACAACAGCATAACTTTGTGTCTAGAGATATACTCGTACAATATACTTACGTACTTACTTATAGTTATAGTATGGCTTGTTTTCTCCATTACGAAACCAACAGAAATCAAATCCATTTCTCTGCTAAGCTCTCTCTTTCTCGTTCTAATTAACTCTCTATGTATGTATGAGTCTGTATGGCAACAGAATATTTATTAAACAAATTGAAAAAAATTGAATCGTTAACGAGAAGATATTGTACTTGTACTTTTGTTGACTATTATGTAATTAAACGCTTTACTGTATATTAGTTATGTACATTTTTAGCTACATGATGAGAAATTCGAAAACAAAAACAAGCTTATGCTGTTACTTATTGTTAGTGATTCTACCACATAAAAGACAACAAAAATTAATTAATTAAAAATACAATTGAATTTTCCAAAATTTATAAAAAACTAAAACCAAAAAAACAAATCAGTTTGCAATGTCCGAGCGGGTAAAGTATCAATGGTTTTGCCCCACCGGACGGACGCCTCTGTATATTGCGATAGATTCTGAAGACAAGGCTTACCTAACTTTGAAACTATCAGATAAATATGTATCTAATTAACATATAATATATACACATGAAATACATGCTAAACATAACATATATCGTATTTATAGAACGCTAAACTATATCTAAATTGTAAACGACAATGAGAAGCAATTTTAAGCAAAAACCACAAAAACAATTTCAATTTCAATTTTAAATTCAAATACAATTTCAATTTCAACTTCAACACCCCCAACACACACAAGCATACACAAACATACACCGATGAAGCAAACTATATACAACAGAATATGTATAGTACTACTATATAAAAATACAACAAAAAAGGCTATCTATATGCTATGCTTAAAAAAGGGTAAACGGCATTTAAACTCATTCAACCAAACCAAAACCAAAATGAACAGAAACCAAAACAGAATCAGAAACAGAAACAGAAGCAGAAGAAGATGAAGAATCAGAATGAAAGCTTATAAATACCATACGAAAACGTTCTATATAAAAGCAAGAAGAGATGCGACAACCATGTACCACTTAAATATCGTAAATTAAATAGCAATAGCCTATAGTTGGTATGGATAACTACGTATATAACTTACCGATTAGCAGGGCCTCAGCCGAAGCAAACCAGTTGTATAATAAAGATTGAGCTAGACTTTTAATCAGAGATAATCCAACTTGTAGATATATCGATAAATATATATATAAATATATACATGTAAACGTGTAGCTGTGTATATTGAACAGATAGACAAGATCTCTTATTATTTTCAGGTCTCGCTTTTGAGTTGATCCCCTTACCTTACAGCCACCACCCCACTGTGACTCGTATATATCAAGGCCCCTTACAGACATACCAACCGATTATTCATTCAGACCAGACTACAAAAAACAAAAACAAAAACCAAAAATCAACTAAAAACTACAACAAAAAACAAACTGTGCCACCTAGTACATAACGAGAAATGGTTATATATCCGTATCTGCTATATAGACACGACAAACACAAAAAAACACTGACTTGTAATATATATACATATATATATATATATACCTAGATACATATATATACATATAGGAAGAGAAACGGAACGAATGGAGGTAAATTTCAATGCTCACTTTTATATTTTTTATCATACATACATATATCAAGAAAAGCAAAAGAAAAGTAAGGAACATTAAAGTAAAGAGAAGAAACACAAAAACAAAGCACCGTATGAACCACTGAACCACAAAACCAAATACAAACAAAACATACAACACATATATTCAAACTCTCAAAGCGAAAGAACATATATTTCTATATGGTATATGTACAATTTCAATTTCTTTAACCGAACCCACACAAAACGGTTTCTAGAGCCAATTTGCTTTGCTTGCGAGACAGCAGCACTCAGAATTCCCCCTGAAAAAATCCCTTTATTTCTGTTGTATCTCTGACTTTATCCTCCCATCTTAGAATAAAAACAAACTGAGAATTAGGAAAGAAAAACACCAGGCATCATGCAAAAGATCGAGCTAAACTAGAGCATAGTGCTGAAAAGAAAAGAAAAATCCATTGTTAAAAACTATTTCAGTTGTGTATATTGTAAAGGAGAATTTTGGAAAACAAAAAACCCATCATAAAGTTAAACATTTAAAGCGAACAACAAAAATTTATTGAAGCATTAATAATAATTGTATTTATCAAAATTAAAACCAAATGTAAACGCATTAGCATAGCAAATATATATAAAAATAAAAACAAAAGAAACTGAAACAGAACATGAAAATGGAAATGTTTGAAGAAAGCGCTGATTTAATATTATTATATTATTAATTAAATTATTGCAAACAAAAAAAAAACAAAGTGAAAAACAAATGATATTGTCCTTGGTATTTACATATACATAAAGAAAACAACAACAAAAAACAAAAACCAGAAAAATAAAAACAAAACGTTTTTTTATATAACCAAGATTTTTTCAACCGGTGCTCTCTCTCTCTCACTCTCACTCTCTCGGTGGGTCTGAACTGGTTCGGTTGCCTGATTTGCATTCGATTTCAGTTTCCCCCACTAGCTTGGGGGGGGTTCAGATTTCAGAATCTAGATTTAGTCTGTTTCTCGCCCTCAACTCGTAGTCAGCAATGCCGCAGGTTAATCTCAAACTGAGCTCACACGATCAGCAGGTGCTGGAGTCCATCTTCAATCCCCTGGAGCTGAGCAGCATTCATCCGAGTGTATCCGTGCCATGTGAGTCCGAGCTGGCTGATGTCGAGCCCGACACGGAGGCTGTGAGATCTTCCCGGGAGCTGGAGCTTCAAGGGGTTCTACTAACGGAAAAGGGAAGCTTAGATGAAGCTTTGACGCAATTTCAGCTGGCCCTGAACCAGGCCCAAAGAGCTTCGGTGCTGAACAACCGAGCGCAGACTCTTCGTCTGGCGAAACGCGATGGGGGTAAGCAAAAAAAAGATCAAACGCAAATATTTCTTGTTTCCTAGTTCGGTTGAGAAGGCGACCACAGCTCCGGCAGATACTCATGGCCAATTTTCTATGCAAAATCTTTTAACTTGGAGCTTCTAATACAAAAAACTTGTATAATGCAGAGAATAACAAATAATTTAGTAATTTGTGAGTGTGTTTAATTATTTAGTGAGCTTGTGAGTGCAATTAGGATGAAAACTTTTTGTCATAAATTGTTAATCAACTCATAAAATTAAACAGATTTTTTATGAAACATTTTGGTGGTTTTATAGTCTTTGAATTACTACGCTGAGAGACCTCCTACCATCAGCTGTTTTAATATTATTCATACGCTTATTATCTAATCAGTTATGTTGATTAAATACCTACAAAATAAATGCACGCAAAAATATACTATGCAATTTGCATTAATTCGGAAAAGGTCTTCATGAGCATACAGTAGCATATTTTAGGGAGTAGAATTCATGTACCTATGTGGATTTCAAGTATAAATGGCGCAACACCACACAATTTTAGTTGTTGACTTGCATAACTTCTTTTGTGTTTAAAAAGTAAGTTCATCTTAAAGAAAATTGTTTATTTTCAGCGAAGAAAATTAATTTTTTTACTCAACGAACTTTGGATTATTTTGATTTCAGTTTTAAATTAATTAATGCACAACTTATGTTACTTTTAGAGGCGCTTGATGACCTTAACAAAGCTTTGGAAATAGCCAGCGAGAAACAGACCCGCACCAAGTGCCATGCCCATTGTCAGCGGGGAGTGCTATACAGAAAATTGGATAATTTGGATGCGGCGCGATCTGACTTCGAGGCAGCCGCCCAACTGGGCAGTAAATTTGCCAGAGAACAGGTATTAATCAGAAATCAGCTCGTATGTACGAGCATTAATTGCATCCAATCCATTCCAGCTAGTGGAAATCAATCCATATGCGGCACTCTGCAACCAAATGCTGCGTCAGGCCTTCGATCAGCTGCAGTAGGGAATCCAATCCAATCCAGTCCAATTCTGCCACGGTACCCTAGACTTTGATTTTACTAAAAGTCAAAGGCTCGTTAGCATAAATAAAAATTAATTAAGTTCGAGACGCGTTGTATGGTGCGATAAGCGGTCAATCGACTGATGGCCCCATCATGGGGCAAGCTGCAAAAATTGGCACGTGCACCACAAGCACAAGCACAAGCGGCAGCGGCAGCGGCAGCAAAAAACGGGGAGAACGGGACCGACCCGTGTCCAGGGCAGGTCGTGAGCACTCGGGGGCCAGCACACACAAACACATTACATGCTGGGAAGGATCGAAAGGGGGGGAGATACGAGTAATAAAAAGATCGGCGGCAAAAACGAAAACAGTTATTAAATGCAGCAGGCTCTTGTCAGATTGCAGCAGGCTCTGCCCTGGACGCCACTGCCCCCTCTCTGCCACCCTGGGCTGACGACGACCGCAAGCCAAATTAAAATAAACGAAAGTGGTTTGGGCCAGGACGAAGCCCGAGACTGAGTTCGAGTCTGATTCGGATTGGCTTTGGCTTTAACATTGGGATTTGTGCAAAGCGGGCTGCGGTTACGCATTGGCACACGCTTGGCAGGATCAGCTTTGCCCAAGGAGAGCGGTTCCTGGGGATTTGGGGAGATCTCTCCCCTGTGTAAGCGGGCCAAGCTTAACGGTTAAGCGACTTGGTCAACGATTTTGGGCTGCCTTCTGTTCGCTTGTAAGTAAGTCAGAGCGGAATTTGGTTTTAGTTTTTTGTGCTCTGAGCTCTGTGCTGGCAACGATTGCGGTCAAAAGACGCGCGTCCTGTGCCCCAGAAGCAGGTGCACAGCAGCAGCAGCAGCGGCGGCAACTGCGGCCAGGCAGAGGGGAAAAAAAAACAAAAAAATGTGGTAGTAAAAACACAAAGGATCAGCACTTAAGGAGCACGAATCATTAAGGACCTGTAAGCGAGTTGAAACCAAAGCCAAGTCAGAGAAAAATATCTCTGAGAATGTAGAGAATAAATAAGTAAATAAATCACTAAAATAAATTCCAGTAAATATAAATGATTTTAGTTTACCATCGAGAAGACGCCCAATTCGACCTTGACTTACTGGTTAAGCGACGCATCATACCCCGATCATACCCTGGGCACAGGCACCTATGATAGCGCCGTAAAAAAATAAAAATGCAGGAGTCAAGTGGGCATCTAGATGCAATCCCTCCGAGGCGGCACACGAGGGAGAGTGCGAGGGCAACTCATCGCAGGGAAGGAACGAAGCCCAATATTTGATTGATCTTTTTACATGCGAGTATTCGGGGAGCAATGAGGATGAGGAGCGGGAGGAGATTGTCAGGTCCGTGTGGAGGATAGGAAGTAAGTCGACGGACACAAAAACTCCGAGCTGCGATCGTAGGTAGGTAGGCTGGGACCAGGCTGGGACAACAATGCAGTGCGATGGGATCCTGCGTATCCTGCGTCAGTTGTGCTGAAGCCACAGCAAGAGAGGGGCAGGGGGGGCGGCCTCAGAATGCCATATGTTGCACTTGAAGCGCAGGCAGGAGAGCAACCAAAGGCAGCAAGCAAATCATTAACTTAAGGTTAACGGTTAGGCCTGCCCGGCCAGAATCCCCCCATCCCCCAGCCACCAGGGTGATGATGATCATCCTCATACGCATCCCCGAATAACACACACAAAAGCGGAACCAAATGCTCAATCTTGACCGGAACTGTAATTTGATCGAGAACCAGGCCCAGATATTAGATACGATAAAATCTACAAAAACTTCAGCAGCAGCTTTCTTCCTGCCAAAAATTATAAACTAAGCTTCACTTTCAGGCCCGAGTCTAGTGAGATTCTCCACTGAGCTTCCCCCCTCTCTCTCCCTCTGTGTCTCCTTCTGGGTTATTCACCCGTGCGATCGCTCAACAGTTGCATATTTTTTTGGTTGTTCTGCTTTTCCAGATCCTTTTGTTTTCGCCCTTTGCTCTGGCTGTTGCTCTTTTTGTTGTTTTTGTGTGTTATTTTTTTTTTGCTTGTTTCTGTTTGGCCTTCCTTGTACCTGGGCTACCTCTGCTCTGTCGATTCTGGGGTTCGTTCGGTTCGGGGCGCGTGCCGGCTGTCGTCGTCGTTGGGTTCCTGTTTTCGGTGTGTCTCTCTCTCTCGCTCTATCAGTCTCTGTCTCTCGTCTCTGCTTGACCAGCACATGACGCAGGCAGCCGCGCACTCTGGCTCTGCCTTTTGAATGTTGCCTTGCCTCCTCCTCCTCCTCCTCCTTCACCTTTAGCATTTTTCCCCATGTCACTTTTTGTTGTGCTTCTTTTCGGTTGAGGTTTTTGCTTGAACTGTAATTCAGGCTTTTGCTTATGCAAATATTTTGATCAGAAGCTGCGACGAGGACAGTTTGAAATCAACAGGATTGCACGGAGGGATGCGCTACGCAACTTTGAAAAACAGTAACGAGGGAACTAGAGAGTTTTAAAGGAGTAAAGAATAAAGTTTGAGGCTCCCTTCTTGGGTGTACTCTGAGAAAGGATTGCTAACAGAATCTCTATGATTTTGGAGGTATTTCCCAGCTGTTCACGTTCAGAAATAACACTCAAAGATTTGGATATCTCTTAGCTGTTATGTCAGAAGTATTGTACCTGTATCTCGTGTCTGGCATTTCAAGTGGAGTTCCCCCCCTTCAACCTCTTCTAATTATTGCCGCACACTCCGCAAGTAAACACATAAATCTACCCTACGCGCCCCACTCCACGTGCCGTCGGTGTCCATCTCTCATACAAGACGCGTTGACATTTATGAATTGCTTGGCAATTTACACGACACACAACGGGGACAGACATCCCGAAGACACCCGCGCATAGAGGAACCACAGAGCAGAGCAGAACCACAGTCAGATCCGTGGCAAGAGCCACTCCAACCACAGCTGGGCACAGCTCCACACGCAGCAAAACTTGGATGGCAATTTACACTAGGGAGCAGCTGAAGAGGCGGAAAGTCGGAGCGTCGGAGATGT